GCCCCCTATTTCCTAGAAAACCTTGCTTTATATAAGCGTACAAAGTAACTGCTAAGGGGATTCAGGATGCGCCACGTGTCATCCCACGTCTCTGGAAAACTGCCTTCACGTTCCTCTTTTCAAAATATCTTTCTGCCAGGCCTTAGCTCCTCTCGTCGAGAATACCTTTGTTGGTTTTTATCTTTGGGTCGATCAACGCAGGGCCCCGTCGACCCATCCATCTCATGTTGTCGATTCGAGGTGTGGTGCTTGCCAAGTTTTATTGCTGTCGGCCCTTGGCTTTTATGCAAGGGGCGGGTCGACCTTCATTCTTCCTTCCCCTAACTTCTGTCGAGGCCAATGCCCTTAGTTAGCTAATTTTCAGCCAACAGTATGTTAATGATTAAATTTGAATTTCCTATAAACAATTGAGGTGTAGATATTTATCATTTTTCAAATGATATATATACATATATATATATATATATATATATATATATATATATATATATATATATATATATATATATATATATATATATATATATATATATATATATATATATATATATATATATATATATATATATATATATATATATATATATATATATATATATATATATATATATATATATATATATTAAGTATAACTAAAGATATAATAGTTTATTTGAAAATTACTCAAAAAGAAATAAAATATTTAATTAGTATTTATTTGCAATAGTTATAAGAGTTATGTTTTATTTACTTTAGTCGGGTATAGTTTGACTCGTTTGATTCGTGAACTGATTTGATAAATAAATGGTAAAGAATAAATATGTTTGAGATGATGTCGAATATAACGGAAAGCTTCAACCATATTTTTAGTTAAAAATGCTATTCTAAATTGAAATAAAACATAGTTCTCAAAGTTATTGTCAACTAATACTAATTATTCCTAGGGATAGTTATACCTTTATCATCATCATCATCACCAATTACAACAAAAGCAGGAAAGGAATGAGCCTTCTATGTGTAACTTATGTGGAAATGTTTGTGAAACTACCATGCATGCACTAAGGGAATGCCCTGGAACCAGGCAATTATGGGAGAAAGTGATGTCTAGCATAATGACTCATTTTTTTCCACGCAAACTTGATCGATTGGATTATGCTTAATCTAAAAGAAAGGAACATTAATAGTAGTAATTGGAGCAGATATTAGGCAATGGTTGCCATACATTGTGGAATTGGTGTGATAAAGAAGAGCCCGATGGATCGTTTATGAGGTCGTATGATCTTGGACCATGTATCTCTCAAAGACTAGAGGATTATGATGAAGCAAAGAGCATGAACATTGTTGTTATGGAAAGAGTTAAAATGATTATTAGGATTAGTTGGACGCCTCCTTCTCAAAATATGGCGAAATTTAACATTGATGGTGTGTGCAAGGAAAATAATGTGGTTGGTTATGAATGAATGATTAGAGACGAGATAGGGCATTGATTGATAGGGTTTGCAAAATCTTTGGGGAAGTGTGGTGCTTTCATGGCAAAGCTTTAGGGTGTGTTTGAAGGTGTTAAACTCACAAAGATGTTAGGGTTGTGTAGGGTTGAGATTAATGTGGACTCCACTGTTATAGAGTATGTCATCGAAAAGGGAAGATTAGGTAAGGTGAAGGTTTGGCCTTGACAAAGACGATTTAGAGGTTATTCAATGATCATGAGATTGTGAAGTTGAAATACTCTTTTAGAGAAGCAAATAAGTGTGTTGACGCGTTAGCGAATGTAGGATGCATTCTTGATTTTGAGCTTAGAATTTTTAACTCGGCATCAGAGTTTATTTCGAGTTTGTTAGATGATGAAGTTAGAAGTATAACTACCCATAGGGTGGTTCCTTTGTAGTTTTTCCTTTTTTTTTGGGCTTATGCCCTCTTTATTATATAAAAGAAAAAGTTCAAATAATTTATTTTACGAACTTAGTTTTGAATTTAAGTTTGAATCATTTTATTCATGAACTAAGTCCGACAAATTAATTATCGATTTGGTCCAATTTATCATAAGCCCTACTATCCACTGTCTCTTAGTCGGCCAATCCAAATAGTACTTCCTCCATTTTTTTATAAAGTCGTTTTGAAGAAAAAATTGTACCACAATATAAGTTGTTTTACATTAACAATGAATCATTAATACTAATTTTCCAATTATATCCTTAAATATTTATTATTCTCTCTCCTTTCAATTATGTAAATTTGTCTTTTCAATACTCATAATGATGGACAATTTAGTAAAACTCTTCATAATTTATCTTTTTCATAGAACAACAATTATATTTTTTAATACGTGTAAAAAGTCAAAAATGACTTATAATAAAAAAAACAGAGGGAGTATTATCCTCCCTCAAAATGTTATTTAAAGATATTTCCCCCTTAAACCTCTGAAGGTGATACTGTCATAACATATTAGTGAGTAAAATGTGTTTCATTACTGATTGAAGAAATATCATCCTTATAGTAAACTCCACTATTTAATCAATCCCAACACAAAATACACCTTATATTACTTAATAAATGACTTATTATCCCTCACATGCAAAGGAACATAATAGTGTTTCAGACCAACCATAATGGTCATCAGTCGACCACTTAAAAGGCGTTGCAATTTGTCTAGGACAATCGTAGTGCATAAGAACTGTCCTATGGAAGAACGTAGACGATCTAAATCCCATATACATCCAACAACTCTTTACATCACACGCCTATCAAATAGCGAGTTGTTATAACCGCCTCACTATATAAATGATAGGCGCGAAGAATTCATGTACACAATTTCAAATTCAATTTTCATTCACTCTTCTACCTCACATATTAACTTGAGTCTTGAAGTAATAAATTTGTAGATCAACCCCCTCTTCACCGCATCAAAAGTTCAGATCCATCGTAATCATCCACAATCACTGATTCTCCATCCAATTCTGGTTCCGCAATGGAATAAATAGTATACCAACAATAAAAATAATGCAATATTTGAAATATTTTTAGTGTTATAAACTAAAGAGAAAGATAAAATGATTAATGAAAAACAATTAGAAGTTATGGATTATGTTATTCACAAGTGTAGCATTACACAATGATATATGCCATATTTATAGGACACAAAAATCAATTAATAAAATAAATACAAATAAGTGGAAGAAGTACATTTGAAGATAAAAAGGTAAGTGCAATTAACTTCTATTATTCATGATATTCTTTTTTGGATGTTCGTTTAAGATATGCTTTGATAAAACTTACTTCATTCTGTCATAATTATAAGCAAAATTAACTACTTCCGCACTAAATAAGAAAATCATTCAAGTGTAATTAATTTTCTTGACTTCATGTACAATTAAAGTAAACTTTACTATAATATATTTAGCTATATTTAATGAACCAACTACTAACATTAAATGCTTTTGAATTAAAGGAAGAGTATACTAGTAATACAAAAATTAATTAGTTTAAAAATTAATGAGTTTTGCTTATAACAATGATCCGAGGGAGGGAGTATTAAAAAAAACTCAACAAAAAAAAATTAGTGAAGACAAAATAATACAATATTCTTTTAAGATAAATTTATTTTCCCTTTAATTGAATGCTTATTTCTTCGACGTTGAAGGTCAATTTTTTTATACTAGTTAGTTAAAAGTTCTACTTAAAAATAGCTTTGTAAATAGATATGCAAAATTAGCAGATGAACATATTTATTGGATACTTAGATCGCCATTCTTCAGAAAATCATGTGTGAAAAAGAATGTTGAAAAAAAGTGTTTTGTATGATCTCATTAGATGTAATCTCATTTTTCAATTTCAATTGAGTCATGTATGTAATATTAACTTAAAAATTAGTACTAACTTCATTCATGCCATTTTATTTATTTACCTATTTTAAATATAAAATTATATTATTGTAATAATAATAATAAATAACTATAAATAATATAAAAGAGGACTGAAATCCCAAAAAATATAAAATGGAGAGACAAAAAATCCGAATTTAAAATAGAAAAATCAAAACTAAAAAAATAAAATAAAAATAAAAGGACAAAATTGTAATTAAATTTAAAATAAATGCAAATAAGTGAAGGAAGTTCATTGAAAAAAAAACAATAACATTTAACATTCATTATTCATAGTATTCAATTAGTTTTTTTTAATATACAGTTGCTTTGATATTTAATATAGATCATAATTTATAAATATAAGAAATATATTTTAAAAATATATATTTTTATTAAATTAATAAATACATTAAATAATTAAATATTTTTTCGATTACTTTTAAAAATAATAGCTATGAATTTGCGTACAATTTATTTTACTTACTATGTTTTTATTTTTAATATTACATGCAAATTTATTTACTATTTTTTAATTCTAAAAGGAAATTTTGGACAAAATGTATCTAGATCCTCTTTTGTCGAGTGTCTGCTGCTTTTCATTTTCATTTCAAACTAAGCCATTAACTTAATTTAATAGCATAAAAAAATGAAAGAAAATTAAACTATTAAAGTCAAATTCAATCATCAATATTACATGAAAAAGATGACAGAACTAAAAATGCATTTTAAAAAGAAATAAAATTTAGTTTTTATAAAATGTCGAAAAAAATATTTGAGGTAGATTTATAAATTTTTAAAATACATAGTTCAGATTGATCTTCCAAAATTTTACATTTTCAGTTCTTAATAAAATAAAATTGTGGTGAAAAATATTTACTAAGCACAAAAGAGGATTAATCTTCCATATTTTTATAAGGGACAAAAATAAACATTACTAGGGAGAGGGTGTGTATGATATTATAGGAGGTGTATTTAATAATTCTCTATGGTAAATGGACCAAACCCAAACCAAGGTGAACCACGCTCAGTTCCTCACATAACACAAAAATTACACAAACCAGAGATTGAAATCGAGAATTGAGAGCATAATCGAACAGCGTTTCAGAAAGTGAAACAGAAGAAGAAGAAGAACCAGAGAGGGAATAATCAAGGAAGGTTAAAATGACGGAAGCGATGATCAGGAAGAAGCCAGGAATGGCCAGCGTGAAGGACATGCCGGTTCTTCAGGACGGTCCACCTCCCGGCGGTTTTGCTCCGGTCCGGTTCGCTCGTCGAATCCCTAACACTGGTCCGAGTGCAATTGCGATTTTTCTCACCACGTTTGGTGCTTTCTCGTGGGGGATGTACCAGGTTGGACAGGGTAACAAGATCCGAAGGTAACCTCTTTTTTTCATTTTCGATTTTTTGTTTTAGATGTAATAAATTAGGGTTCGAATTGGAATATTGATTGAATGTTTAGTTTAATTGAGGGATTGTGATATTGATTAGAGGGAAGAACATAGGATTCGGTTAATGGTGTGTACGAGTTTTGACTATAGGGGGAGAAATTATTTGAAATGAAATAATTTCCGTTTTCTGAATTTAGTGTGTTTGGTTCTGGGGTGACGAGAATTGAATCCGAGTGAAATGATTTTGTAGAATTGATTTCGGTTAAAAGTGAGTTGGATGCAAAGTGATATGTTTGGATACATTTATGTTAAAGTGAGTTGAGCAACAAATATAAGTGTAAAAATCATGTTTAAACTCAAAAGCTACAAATTCTAGCTTCAAGTAGAATCAATTCTGAAGGCCTACTTTAGAAGAACCAAACACTGCAAAATTACTCCAAAATCAATTCTATATCTCTAGAGTTGATTTTGACTCTTCCAAAAGTAACCCAAACATACACTTAAAATCATTTGTTAGGACAGGGTTATATGTAAAATTTTGCCATGTGTGTGTAGAGAAAAACTTTTCTTAGGATAGATAGATAATAGTAAGGATTGAGTGAAAGTTAGGGTCACTAGGTATGGTGATGATGACTCTCAAAGTTCTGCGTGTGTAACTGGGAATTTGTCCCTATTCTTCGTAGTATAATATTGTGATCCTATCACAGGATGATACTAAACTGATGACTTGTTTGTTACATATAAGATGAACTTGCATAGTTCTCTTTGTTGATACATGTGTGTTGTGAGTATGAAACGGTGCCTCGTTTAATATCTTAGCTGTGCAATGTCTTATGCACAAGACACATAAATTGTTGGATCAGCTTCGTGGTCATTGGGTGCGTTCTAGTTTGTTGGATCAGCTTCGTGGTAATTGAGTGTGTTCTAGTTTGTAGGATCAGCTTCTACATACTATTTGTTTTAGATTGATGATTGATAAGAAGGAATAAAATTTTGTGGCAATGTGATGTTCATGGGACTTTGTTATTTGAAATGAATGTTGACATCGTCAATGGTGTTTTTCACCTCTGAATTTGTTATGGGGCGTGCTTATGCTTTAGTGCTCACGACATGGTCTATTTAGGGGCTTTCGTGCTCATGACAGCTCTCCTAACCTTTTGTACTTGTTGCTTTTTCTAATAAAATATTAAAATTCATTCTTTCAAGAAAAATATAGTTCACGTTTTGGTATTTTTTTTTTAGTAGTTTATATTTATTTTAGCTGGGGAACTGGGATGAAAAGGTTACATCAGGGGTTGTCAATGTGACTTGAACGTGGATGTGATTAATGAAGCAATCTTAGGGTCCCTGTTTTGTGACATGAATGAAAATGATTAGCATTTTGCATTGTAATATTGTGGAATTTGTTAGAATATATCTTTAGTTTATCTTATAATATATCTACGTTAAATTAAGATATTAATAAGTCATGCAATTGATGAAGCAATCTTAGGATCCCTGTCTTGTTATCTCTTGATTTGATTCTTTATTAGAACTTTTTAGTCCTATTGTTGGTGGAATTTGCGCTGCAGTATTAGGTTAATGTTTTGTGTCATTTACGGCCAAGTGTTTTATGCTTTTATTGTAGCATATATTTCTCATGTTTGCTTGTTCATTTGGATCACTCTATACACATAATTCTTTAACAACATCGATTATTTGACATCTACATTTTTAGATCTTAAATTTGAAGTGTTACAAACAACATTTGGAATAGGTAATGGTCATTTCATAACAACCTGGTTGGTCATCTCTTGCAAAAAGGACCTTATTTAAGTTTATAGAAAACAGTGAAGGGCCCGTTTGTAATTAGAAAACATAATTTCATGGTGGAAAATTTGTTCTGTAAAACTTTCTGATGATATACTTCCCTAACAAACATGTTCAGGTGAAAAAATATTATGCAGTGAAAATGAAAAGTTGTTTTTTGTTCCTTTGATGGGTTGTTTCATGAGATGACTTGGAAGATATAGTGTGCATTCTTAGGCCCTGTTTACTTTGGGAAAACATTTTCTATTTTCATTTTCTACAACATGTTTCATTTTAACTTGTTAATAAGAGGATATAAGCCTCTTAAAGTGAACAATTGTGATGTAGAGCAGATGAAATGCTATCATTTTTGGGATTATTAAAAACAACGTTTTAGCAATTTTCATTGTTTTCAAAAAATGAACACAGTTGTTCACCTAAAGACTCTATTACCTCTTTATTAGCATATAAAATTAAGGATTTAATTGAAATGCATTGACAGTGTAAAAAGATTTTACACCTTCAGTTAATCATAGCCATTGAATGTTCAGAAGAGTTTGACTTTTATTTAAACCACTTATAAAGTGAGGCAAACGGATGATGGTGATGAATCGACAGTGTAAAATTTTTTACACTGACAGTGTATAGTAATTAATCTCTAAAATTAATACACATTTTTGAAAATGAAAACAAGAAAACATTCACAAAGTAAACAGGGCCATTAGTCCTATTTCAATAAGATACTATGTGGGATCAATTTTGGATGTATAGAAATTAGAAAGAAAGTAGTCTGTATATTTCTTGCCAGTTAATTTGATTATATGGAAAAAGTTTCATCTCTTCTATGCTTGGGAAAAAGGATGCAGGTTTCTTTTCAGTTTCCATTTCCACATAATCTGATGTTTTAAAACGTTTCATTTCCATATAGGGCACTGAAAGAAGAGAAATATGCTGCCCGCCGAGCAATACTGCCTGTGCTGCAGGCTGAAGAGGATGAGAGGTATATAAATTTCTTTCACCAAATCTGTATCATCACAACCAGTAAAATTCATTGTAATAGTACTTAGTATTTGACAACTCCATTTTTTGTTTCTTTCTTTCTGAAGATTTGTTAAAGAGTGGCATAAGTATCTTGAATACGAGGCAGATGTCATGAAGGATGTGCCTGGTTGGAAGGTTGGTGAAAGTGTCTATAATTCTGGAAGATGGGTGCCCCCAGCAAGCGGTGAGCTGCGTCCCGATGTCTGGTGATGTTATTTTAGCATTATCAAGAATTGGTCTGCTTCCTACATATGTTACGTTGTGATGCTTTCATCCAGCACCTCTAAAATAAAGTTGTATCTCAAACATTTGAAATTGTGTTGTCAGGAATGTTTTTTTTTCTTCAATTTTTCATTTCATGTTGGCTATCACTCTCATGTAAATCAAGATGAATGCACATCACCGGCATAGAACATTAAATTTCTAATGCCTTTTTTCATTCCCTGGGGTAAAAGGTTAATTCCAGCCATTTTCTTCTCCCTGTTAACCCGTAAGTGATTCGAAAAATAATTCCCAACAATCGGATAATTTGTTGTTTGTATTAACCAACTTTTGCAAGTCACCTTTATAGAGTGAACTTGAAATGATAAAAGATTATTGGTTAATTCGTTGCTTGTAGTTTGTTCATTTAATGCTAACTTTTGAGACACTTGTTCCCGTTCTCTCATCCATTTAAATCTAATGGTAGTGACTAACCCTTTCATGTAAGAAAATTTGCAACCAACCCCCTCAGAACCTCAGTTGATAATATAAAGATACCTTTCAAATATCCTAGAGTGTATTTTTAAACTGCTCACATTATAGCATTTGAATATAATAGTGAACATAAATATTAAATTAAATTAAATCAAATTAAATTCAACAACACCAACTGTACATTTAACAAAAAACTTACAAAAAAAAAGAGACATGAGTTAAACACAAAAGATCATGAAAGAGACAAACTTAGGATTTAACATCCATGTGATCTAACTCGATCGGGTTTTTGGTATAATAGTGATCAAATATTGAGAATATGGTTCATACATCATTATCATTTTGAAGTTGATGTTAGTGAACCAAACATATCCAACTGAAATTATTGATGGACAATTATATTCAACACTTGTTGTGTCATGGTGGTTGAAATGGCAACTTAGTTAGTTTTGTTGCTCCTTTATATTAGACAATGTAACATCGACATTGGTCATAAACAATTGAGAATGAGTCTATTTATTGTAGTAAATTGAATATGAGTCTATTTATTGTAGTAAATTGAATTTGATATGGTTTGAGTAAGAGTTTATTGTTTTATATTTTAAATTTCAAATTAATCAAATATATTATTTCATACAAGTTCTTGTGCATTCTAGTCTACAAACATTGTCAATGCCACGTAGATCACATAATAGAAATCCAATTTTGGATTATGTAACCTGAAGGTGTTAAATACCTCCTTAACATGTGTTTAGATTATAGAATCTGAACGTGCAAAACACTTCTCCTTATGTGTTTGAATTATAGAATCTAAACATGTGTTCTACATTAAGTTGCATATTTTACTTGTACTTAAATTTCTAGTTTGTATAAACATCAACAATAGCCATAACATGACAGGTAACATGGTCCCTTATGTGCCTCAATGCATTCTTGGTTTCTTTAAGAATCTGTAGGAAAACACCATGAATTCTCGTGCTCCCTACATCTCCACCACATAGTAACTCATATGTGAGATCTCGATGTGTGTGCTTGTAGGACCAGACTACATCTAGTGTCGCCCTCCTCTGTTATCGCTTCATATGCCTCCTTGACAAACGTTTTCTCTTTAACTTGTACAATTAGCTTGAAGCGACTCCTCTGTTATCGCTTCATATGCCTCCTTGACAAACGTTTTCTCTTTAACTTGTACAATTAACTTTTCTTCAAGCGTGGGAATGAGGTAGAAATGTGATATATGAAAATACCACCTCATGTATCATATACCAATCTCCAACACCATGCAGGATACAGGCTCAATGGTCCTCTGCAAACAACGCATGATCCATGTACTTAACATACTTATGATAAACTTGTTATCGGTTAATGATAGACCTAACAAAGGCATTGGATGTCTTGGAATACTTTGCACGTACCTAAACCGTCATAAGACTCACTCTAAAAGGTATCACACCAAATATAGTCCACACATGATCCAAATAGACTAGAAACATATAACATCTAGAGAGCTTGTCGCACAGTGAATGGTGTAGGAGTAGAAACCGCGTTTCATAGTAATACTTGATCAAGATTCTCTCGATACGGCTCTAGAAAATAACCTTTTTTAGTTGAATTGATAAGACAACCTTGAATGAGCAGATGTAGTAGACAAGACATGTCATTTGGTGTCATTGTCATCTCCCTAACCGGTAGAAGAAAGTTGTATGTAGCCTCATGTCATCTCTCAAAAAAGGATGATAGTAAACCATGACCAACCACATGGTAACATGTGGTGGTAAGCTCATACAATTCATTGTCTTTCTTGGCATCAATGAATCACCTTTTATTTTGTTTAGTCAAATTAATGATCTTTTGTCCTTATTGACACATTTAATAGAATGTTACAAAACTGAAAAGAAAAAAAAATGAGTTAGAAGTAATATAAAACAATAAGTGAAAATAAATTGTTAAAAATATTAAATGAACAAACGTATAGTACCTTACCTTCAATATATATTTTGCCACATGGTCCCTGTAAAGTATAAATATTGATGTGTCGTACAAGCCTCTAGGGTATAACTCATTTTGATCCTCGAGCTCTTATATTTTAAGGTTCGTTGGTTTTGGCTCATGATGAGACTGAGTTTGTCGTTTAAATGGTTTGGATATATCCTTTTAGTATACTTTTTTTTTAAAATTCAATCTTGCTTTGACCCCTTGATTTTGGTCATGTTGATTGAGGATGCACAAAGGTCACATCATCTTCTTCTTTAGAATGATAAAATGTTGGGTTAGGATGTATAAGCCTAATAAAAAGCTTTGTGATAGGGGTCTGTTAAGGTATGGTTGGGCTTAAAAGAGTAGTAAATAGGGGTATTTTATGTGTTTAGACAAGGGTCTTGTTAAACGATTTGTTTAATCTTACTATATTCTCAAGGGCGAGTATCACTTATCTAACCTCTGTGTAGTCCCTGGTAAGCAAGGTGAGAGAGTTTCTTTTGTTTAGTATGATTAGTCTTTGTCTAATTTTTACTATGTTTGAGTGCAAAGAGATGTATTGTTTGAACATCATTCTCTCCCAACCCACCTAAATCAGTTGGGTGTATATTAGATGTTTGGTGTACAAGCATTATAAAGTACCTTGTCAGTTGTTAAGTTATTATACTTGTGTACCTTTAAAATTCGGGGTAAAGTCGGTATGTGTTCCATAAGTATCCAGTCATCTTAGGGATTTTTCTCCTTGATTGATTCTTCACAAAAACCTTTCAAACAATATTTCTTTAAGGTGAGTTGTATCCTTGAAGAGCTTTGCTTTTTTCGTGATAAGTCTGGTAATCCTAATTCCCCTTCCTTTTGGAATCATGATCCATTAAGAATTAAAGTTTTGGATAAAGATTTATTGATTCATATTATTGGTTTCTTTGCTCATTATTTGTAATGCATGCACACATGGATTCTAACAGTATTTTGAAGTTTGAATATGAGCCTCTTAAGTTCTTAAGTTCTGCAATGTTGGTGATTTAACTTCTAAGTCTTCCTGAAAAGTCACCAATGGATATTCTGAGTTTGTAAGCATTTTGTGCAATGAAAGTATGAGTAGATGATGCATATTATTGAAGATCTCAGATTGCGTACTACTTAGATTTCCTACATCTTGAGGGTGCATGCATCGTGCATAGGCGCATGGGAACATATACATGAGGGAATATGATTTACTAATGTTGAGGAAGGACAAGGAAAACCTATAAGTTATGGTTAAATAAGTTTTGTGACGTGAATAAGAAGGTGAATGACCTTATCTTTAATAATGAAAGGTTGAAATTAGATAAATTAGTATTGATTCCATAAATATGGGTATCGGGTGGCATTTTAAATAAGAAGAAATCAGGAATCGACACTGAGAGACTGGATAAGAATATTAAGGAGACTATTGATAATGTTGATGTGATATCGCATATTGAACAAAAAGTTTAAGAAGTTTGATATCCTAAAGACTACCAAATATCTTATTTCTACTAGGTTCGCCTAAGTGGTTACTCTAGATGCCGATATGTTTAGTTTTAGGCAAGTTTCACTAAGGATAGAAAAGATGGATTACAGGTTGAATTCATTTATGAAAGTGAAGTCAAGGAGGAAGATGAGATTATTGTTGAAAAAAGGTTGTTTTTGTTGTCGCGGCGCAAAAAATATCCGAGCGCATCGCACGCTCAAACGTACAACAGAGTCGATGCCGAACTTTATTTATTCTAAAAGGATAAGGAAAATATCGACAAAACACAAGGGGGAGAGAAATGGGTAAGGGAGTCAATTATGCAACAAGAAGGTATTAGCATATATCGTATTTGTTGTACTCAACGGGAACCATTTTGATTGTTCTTTATGTGAATAAGTGTTATTATCTAAAGGTTACTTGCGATTGGTTTTAATTAAGAGGAAAAATAAGTTTTTAATTAATGTGTTCACCAAGGATTCAAACCCTCGTGCCTATGTATTCTCATAGTGCAATGAGAAAATCAGAGCTCCGTAGTTCATGGTAGGAAATACAGATGTGTTGGTTAATTTTAGGGAACAATTATAATCATATGCTAGAAGTGTGTAGACTCCTTAGGATTCCTATTCATTCAAATGATCATAAGTCTGGTGATAAGAGAACTTTCTTTCTTTTCATAAAAGAATTGTTATAATAATTGCAAAACAACTTTCTTTTTTTTCCATAAAAGAACTATTATAATAGGAATCCTAAAAAGAGCGTGCAATTATTCATGAGAAATCACACAAAAGTCTAATATCAAAGTAATTAATTGATCAAGAATGATATTGATCAACTAATCAATAGAATGAACATGCCAGAAATTACATATTAAGCACATGGAATTATGAGAGAAACAATGGTGTTAAGAATTGAAAATAAACATGTCAACTTTAATATCTAATCAACCATAAAATGAAATTAAAAATAAAATAACAATTAAACTCAATTAAAAACTAATCCTAATTAATTGAAATTAGAGATTAAATTCTAAGTTCTAACAAAA